ACCTGAGGCTGGGCAAGTTGTAAACAAAAGAGGCTGCTCCTGTCCACAGCTCTGGAAGTTCAAGGACACGGCAGGAGCATCATTAAGGATGCAAATGAGAGAGAGAGAGAGAGAGAGAGAGAGAGAGAGAGAGAGAGAGATCACATGGCCAGGGAGGGAGCCAGGCAGCCCACTGGGGACTAAGGAGGGTCCCCTGAGAGCTGTCAGCCCTCTGAGCACAGCCCGTGGGATGACCTAAACCTCCCACTAGGACTCAGCTCTTAAAGGGCCCGCCACCTCTTAGTTTTGCCACACTTGGTCCAAGGTTCCAACACCAGAGCCCTTGGGAGACTACATTTAAACACTTCTCCAAACATAGCAACATCCTTAAGAAAGGAGGAGGAAAAGGAAGCGTTCTCAGGGGAAGGGAAAGCTTTGCTTTGCTTTGTTTTTAAATATTTATTTATTTGAAAAACAGAGTGACCTAGACAGAGGGAGATGCAGAGAGAGAGAGAGAGAGAGATCTTCCATCTGCTCATTCACTCGCCAAATGGCTGCAATGCCTGGGACCAGGCCAGGCTGAAGCCAGGAGCCTGGAACTCCATTTGAGTCTCCCGTGTAGGTGGCCGGGGCCCAAGCACTGGGCTATCTGCGCTGCTTTCCCAGGCACATTAGCAGGAGGCTGGATCAGAAGCGGAGTGGCTGGGACTTGAGGGTGCTAATAAGGGATGCCAGTGCTGCCCGCGGCACCTCAACCTCGGGCAGATCTACACTTAGAAATGGCCTACGCGGGATACGATAATCTGGATGCGGCTTGTCCCCCAAATGTTCACATGGTCCCCAGTGGAACGGGATTGAGAGGTGGCTGGGCCTTTAGGAGCTGGGGCCGCCCTGGAGGAAGGGGGTTCCTGAGAGGATTAGTGTCTTCCTCAAGGGGCGTGATTAGCTCTCTGAAGGCAACATCATGGAGAGCTTCAGGCCTCAAGGGACTGATTAGAAAGTGTTGTGCTAAGGCAAGGCCACCCCCGGGGGTCGGACGTCTTCTGCTGACACTTGCTTGCTACTGTCGCACAGACTCCTGTCCTGTGCCACCACCTGCCCCAGCACAAAACTCCTGCCAGGTACAGCTGCCCACTCTTTTTTAAAAAATATTCTTATTTATTTGAAAGTCAGAGTTACACAGAGAAGGAGAGGCAGAGAGAGAGAGAGAGAGAGAGCTGGTTCACTCCCCAGTTGGCTGCAAAGGCCGGAGCTGCACCCATCCAAAGCCAGGAGCCAGGAGCTTCCTCTGAGTCTCCCACACAGGTGCAGGGGCCCAAGCACCTGGGCCATCGTCCACTGCTTTCCCAGCCACAGCAGAGAGCTGGATCGGAAGTGGAGCAGCCGGGACTCGATTGAAGCTGCCCACTTTTGAACCTCTTTGTCTTCAGAACAGTGAGCCGAAATAAACCTCTTTCCTTACAAATGTCCAGCCTCTGGCATTTCATGATAGCCATCCCAAACACATGAAGACAGAAGTTCTTCAGCTGACGAGGAAATCACAGGAGAAGTCTGGGAGCAGTAGCAAGAAAGAACAGCAGAAAGAGCAAAACAGGGCAACCCAGGCAGGCCGTCCCTCCTCTCACGCGTTCCCCGGCACATTCGATGATGGAAGCAACTATCACAGTGGCACCTGACACCCAAGACTGTGAAGTGGGCGAATTCCAAGTGGGGCAGCCATGCTGTGTTTGAAATGCAGAATTTCAGGACAGAGCGGTGACAGCAGTGCCATGGGGAACGTTGCGCTCACTCCACAAGTGGCTGTGGAGTGATTCCCCTGCACTGGAGGGAAGAAGTGTCCCTGGATGGTCCCTGAACCCGGACCAGGTAGCCAAGTGTGCGATGCAAGATGAGGACATGTTTAGGAGACGGTCGTCACCGAGGGCCAGGAGAAGGGCTCTGGGACACCGAAGGCGCCATCCAGAAAAGGGAAGAACGGTGGCCTTGGGCCCCCCTGGAATGCAGAATTCTGTCCGGGAAGCCCACGCGGGCAGGTTCCTCTGACAGTGAGGGAAAGGCCTCTGTCATAGGACCGGATCCCCCAGAGCAGGGACACCAGGCCTCCCCACAAAGGGATAGACCAGACTTGGCTTGGGTGGGCAGGGAGAGGGAGCCGGAAACCTCCTTCCAAGCAGTGCCTGGATGGAGGGCTCCCTTCCAGCGGTTTGGCAGGGAAACATTGAAAAGGGTGGAAAAGTCCACCATGCCATCACTCGCTCGTCTCGTCCCGCCTCGTGGACTTGGCAGACACCTGCCTGCCTCAGACGTCTCTTCAGCTGGGAACAGGAGTGGCCGATGCAGGCAAGAGCAGGCCACATGCTCCCTGCCGTCCCTGCTGTCTACTGGTACATGCTGCAGGCCAGAAGTGACGCGTGCCACTTCTACTCACAGCCCTTTGGCCACAACTAGTCACATGACCATGGCGTACCTGCAAGGGATGCTGGGAAGTGTAGGGATGGTTGGTGTCTCCAGTCCTGGGTGCCCGTGACACTGAGTAGCATTCAGCTTGATGCTCTGAATGAGTAGCTCAGTTTCCCTCGCATAGCTCGACGTCGTCTTCCCCAGGAAGTTCTTCAGTTCCTTTCAGGAGTCCAGGGGTCAAGAAGCCACTGCAGCTCCCCCACACCCAGATGCACCAGAGGGCAAGGTGCCACGTGGCAGTTTCTTTTTTTTTAATATTTATTTATTTATATGAAAGAGTTACACAGAGAGAGAAGGGGAGAGAGAGAGAGGTCTTCCATCTGCTGGTTCACTCCTCAGTTGGTCACACAGCTGGAGCTGTGCTGATCCGAAGCCAGGAGCCAGGAGCATCTTCCGGGTCTCCCACATGGGTGCAGGGGCCCAAGGACTCGGGCCGTCTTCTACTGCTTTCCCAGGCCATAGCAGAGAGCTGGATCGTTAATGGAGCAGCCGGGACTTGAACCGGCACCCGTATGTGATGCCGGCACTGCAGGTGGGGGCTTTAACCCCTACGCCACGGGGCAAGCCTCAACATGGCTTTTTCAGTCAAGGTAGCGCCGGAAGACGGCTCCTGAGAGAGCCTCCCCTCAGCCAGGCTCAACTGCGCCTTGGGCGGACAGAGAGCTGGAACACCACCTTGTCCCCAGACACGACTGGAAGGGCGATGAAGAACAAGGTTGGGTGGGGCTGGCGTCTCCCGGGGTGGGGCTCATTCCTGGGGAGGAACCAGGTGCTCTCCGAAGGAGATGCTGCGTGACAGTGACTGAGTGGCCAGGCTGGGAGCCTGCGTTAAATGTGACAGCCAGCAACACAAGAGACGCAGCCAGTTCATCACACCTCCTTCCTGGGGGAGCATTCCTGTCACCGGGCGGCTGGGGACACTTTCCAGGAAGCCTCAGCCACCAGGAAACACAGGGCACAGAGTTAGGGGCCCAGAGGGGATGCCAGGTCGGGAGCCAGCGCAGCTCCTCGGTTCAGGGACGGCCCGTGCCCCTGCAGTGTTCCAATTACTGCAGAAGCCTCGGGGAGGGTCACGGGCTGGGGTTGAATTGTGTCCCTGCGACAGACAAACAGGAGACCCGCTGGGGGAGGGGCTTCGCAGAGCCACCAAGCGACCTCTGCTCTCTGGGCCCGGGCCCCTCATCCTCTTCATTCGTGTGACATTTCACCGAGGAAGAGTATGTCAGCTGCTCGGCGCAGGACTGGGCACATGGGACAGTCTCAGGGCGGCTCCAGGGCCACCCCACAAGACCCCATGGCACAGTGGGACACACACTTTTGGCATCACCTGCCTCCCAGCCACATCACCCGACTCAATCCTGGGGCAATCAGCACTTTGGAATTGGACCATTGAGACCATTGTGGGAGCCTCTGGGGGCCTCCAGGAGATGGGGGCTCTCCTGAAAGGGAAGCCCCTCTGGGGAAAAGGGAGCCCAGTGCGGAGTGTGAGGGATGCCTGAGAACCTCCCCCAAGCTCCTGGATCCAGCCATTCCTGAATTCCTTTGAATGGCGCTGGTGCATGACCCCACACAGCCTCTTTTCTGGCTTAAGGCAATTTGAATTTCCAGCTCCCATCACAGAAATGACCCCAGTTAAAGCCATGACGAGCCCATCGTCCCACACCTCCTTGAAGTCACTTGCCCGAGTGCAGGCCCTGATGGCTGTCTCCAGAGCTTTAGGAACTGGGGCTGAGAGAAGCAAATCCCTGGAGTGAGCAGGCACAGCCGACACTGGGCCTCCCCAGTGTTTGCAGGGGCCCAGGGAACATCAGAGTGGCGGGGTGGCGAGAGGTGTCCACCCACATAGTCACACTATGAGCTGCACTCCCACTACGTACCAGGCCTGCTTCTCACTTCACAAGGGCCTGTGGTCTCCTTGCGCTCAGTGCTCATGGGTGCTGTCTCCTTGGTACTCCCTGTCGCTGTGAAGTGCTGACCACAGAGCTCCTTTGGGAATCTGAGACAGCAGGCCTGGGGGCCTCCCTGGAGGAGGTGCAGGAAGGAGGCTGGCGAACAGACAGGAGGGCCTGAGAAGTACAGAGCCGGAGGGGCCTGGCTCAGAAGCCACCCCCACCCCCACCCCCACCCACCTGCCACCGCTCCCCTGGCCCAGCCCTGCCTGCAGGGTGAGAGGCAGCCCAGGCACTGGCAGGGGTGAGGCTGGGACAAACCTGGAGGCGACAGAGGCAGAGGGAGATCCAAGGCTGCAAGAGGGGCCCAGAACAATCAAGATTAAAAGGCCACAGCCTGAGCTTTGAACATCAAACCATCCCTCCCCACTCCTGTGGGTCTCCTCTGTCCCCGCACCAGCACAGAGCAGACGCTGGGCCAAAGGGGAGCCAGCCAGGGGGAGGGAGGGGCAGCCCAGGCTGGGAGAGTGAGCTGTGGGAGGGGCTGTGGGTGATCCCGGCCCCCCACTGCCTGGAACCCTTCCCAGGCTCACTGGCCTCCCGATCTCCTTTCAACCCCTCCCTCCCCGCCCCCTCCACCTTCAGCCAGGCCCTGCCCAGAAGGCCCTGGGAGGCTGAGCCGCCTGTCTGTCCTTCTGCCGCCTCCCCTTGTCCTCATCTGTGGGGCCCAGGGTGCTCCTCGGAGCCCAAGGAAGATGAGAGGGGGAGAGACCAGGGGCATCAAGGGCCTGCCTGAGAGAGCAGCTCAGCCTTCCCGCCCCTGCCCTCACCCCTCACCTCTGCCTCGCCCTGGGCTCCAAGGCCGGCTGTCCAGGCTGGTGCAGGTCCCGCCACCTGCGCGCTGGACCCAGCCAAGCTCGGCCTCTGCGGCTCGGCGCCGGCCCTGCACAAGAGCCTCAACCCCCACCCACGTCTCTGCCCCTGCTCGTGCCCTGGCCTTGCCTCTCCACACCTGTCGCCTAGGCTGGTCAGAGAGGGCCGCTGACCTACTCAAGGCCACACAGGAAGTGGCAAAGCCTGGTCTCGTGCTTTGATGCCCCAGCTGGGAGCCCAGCAGCCCTCTGGGTCATCAGGGTCTTGCTCTCCTGAACGTCCGCCGCGAGCTCCCTACTTGCTTGCCACTGTGGGTGGTTCTCCTTTGAGTTTGGGGCCTCTCATCAGGAGGTCCCAGGGTTTGGGGTTTTGTTGGCACCAGCAGCCAATATGGGGGCAGGGAAGAGAAACAGAGAGAGGCTGGGGATGGGGGGACTCACCAGGGAGGGAGAGAGGGAGAGAGAGACTCACTGAGGGGAAGGGCGGGGAACTCCCCAGGGAGAGGGGAGCAGGGACAAAGAGAGATGGGGCAGCGGAGAGGCAAGGGGCATGGAGACAAAAGTGGGGGAGCAAAAGGAAGGGATTCACAGTGGAGGGAGGAAAAGCCCAGGGAGAAAGATCTCGACCCCTGGGGAGAGCGGAGGCGTAAGGATACACAGGAAGAAAGAAAGTGATGTGGGTCTCTGCAGGAGGGAAGGCCTCTGGGGAGAGCCAGGAGCACAGGGGTGGGGTGGGTGACGGTGCGGTCAGCCGGGGCTCAAGTGACAACGACGGGACACCCGCAAGGTGTCAGGCACGACGTGAGGCCACCAAGCACACATTACGAGAGCAGAATACATAGCCTGAAAGTAGAACGTGGACCTGACTCCCCCACGCTCCTCCATCAGATTCGTCACAAAAGTTCATTCGTATGGGAGAAACAATTCCAGGGGCACGGCGGCTGCACAGAGCACAGCAGTGGAACCAAAACAGCAAAGTTCAGAAGCAGCGAAGCTGCACGCCAAGAGCTAAGACGTCTCACGACGCCCAGAGGAAACCTGAAGCTTCCAGGACAGACACACCACAAGTACTGTCAGTGGATCTCAAACCTGGGTTCAATCAACGACCTTCCACTCAGGTTCGGGTCTGGATTAAATGTCACCTCCAAAATACCCACACAGAGTTCCAGCTGGGCACGTGGCCCTGGACAGGTACAAGCGTCGATATAACGGACGTGCACCCATTGCATTTCCAGGTAGCAGGAGGAGAAGTACAGCACCATCTTTCTCTCTCTCGTTGAGGCACTGTCACTTAAACAGAAAGCCGGAGTGCCCCATGTAGGACTCTGCTCTACAAGACGCGAGCGTGGCGAGTGGCGAGAGGCATCAGGTGGCAGTGGAACCACCTGTTTCTGAGAAGCGACATCCTCAGGGAGGGATAGCAGAAATGGTGAGCTTTAGCCATCCGGCTCCCTGAATGAGCAGCAGTTGAAATTGTTCAGAGCAGCAGGTGCAGTGCATATTGCTACAATGTGTGGATGTTTGAAGCGGTGGGGGCGCTGGCTAGGAGGAGTATGAAACTCTGCTCCCGATTGTTTTGATACCTGTATGTATAATGAAAAATGTTGGGGAGGGGTCGATGACTTTCTCTTAAAAGCTGTTCCTGGGGCAGGTGCCCTGGCTCACTTGGTTAATCCTCCGCCTACGGTGCTGGTATCCCATATGGGCGCCGGGTTCAAGTCCTGGTTGCTCCTCTTCCAGTCCAGTTCTCTGCTGTGGCCCGGGAAGGCAGTGGAGGATGGCCCAAGTGCTTGGGCCCCTCCACCTGCGTGGGAGACCAGGAGGAAGCAAGCGCCTGGCTCCTGGCTTTGGATTGGCGCAGCACACCAGCCGTGGCGGCCATTTTGGGGGTGAACCAATGGAAGGAAGACCTTTCTCTCTGTCTCTCTCACTGTCTAACTCTGTCAAATAAAAAAAAAAAGTTGCTAAAAAAAAAGCTGTTCCTAGGGGTTACCTATGGCAGACAAGGTAAATATTTGTTTACAGTCTGTTCAACAAAGCAAGCATTTAACTTGAAGTGAAGTCAACACACAAGGAAATAGGTGTAGAAATATGTGATTTTGAGACTCCAGTTAGTCTGAAAATGTAAATAAAATGTGGAGCGTGTCCTCCAGGAAAAATGATCCAGAAACAGACACACCTATGCTGTTACAAATGGGCTATTGGGAGGGTCTCTGGGTGAGGGCACCGTGCGCTCCCCAACCAGACAGGGACACACCTTGCAGCTTGGGAGTCCTGGAGGGGGAGGGAGGGGAGACAAGACAGGGCAAAGACGGGGGAGGGCACTGTGCACTGGGAGAGTGAGAGGAGAGGCGGTGCCGAGAGCAGGAGGTGACAGCACAGCAGCACCCAGGCAGTGGCTCTGGGGCTGGCACTCCTTTCTCCCCGCCCTCCGAGCTCCCCCACCAATCGCCTCGGCCCACAGCACCTGAAATGCAAGCCCTGCTGGAGAGGTTAGTTCTCCAGGGTCCAGCCAGGGAGCCCCTCTCTGCAGTCCACCAGCGTGCCCTTAGCGACAGAGGTGCGGGGACTCGGGCTGCATTGGGCGGGGCCGTCTTCTCTCATCTTCGCTTTGAGCCACACACACAGACGGAAGGAGAGGGAGCTGCCTGGCCAGCCTAAAGCCGCTGGGTTCTCCTTGCTGAGTCCTGGACACAGCTCACATCCCCTTAGCAAGCAATCACCCACCAGGGGTGGAGACGTAGCCCCCGCCCCAGGGGAGGCAGACTGTCCCGGTTCAAAAGCCCCTGACTCACTGTGTGCCTGTGATGAGTCCCCCAACCTCTGTCAGCCTCTGTGTCCACTTCTGGGAAATGGGGTCATCGTGTGCCTGCAGCTGGGTCACAGATCTGCAGGAGAGTTACCTATTCCTCTTCCTGGATTAAAGAAAACAGGAGAAGCACATGTCCAGCCCCTGAGTGCCCCAAAGCCACACACGGGTCCCCAGGAGGCCTCTCCCACAGGCAGCAGAGGTCAAAAGGACATCACACACCCCACTCTGCCCATCCAGTTCTCTCCAAAGCTGCTCTCTGTGCTGGAGAACAAGATCGGAAAGACAATGCTAATTTAATTTGCCAGAACAAATAGAGATAAGAGAGTAACTGGTGATGAAGTGCTGAGAGCAGGAATTCACTTGCCGGAGCTGCCCTGGAGCTGAGGGGCAGACCTGGCTCTGTGCATTGCTTTCCTCTGTGGCTCGGAATGGGGGGGCTGGGGGAGTGGGGCAGGGAATGTGCAAAGGGACACAGGAGGCTAAGGGAGGAAGAGCAGAGGGGCCCTACCATTGTGGTGGGGAGGGGCATTGGGGGGGCACTCCCTATCATTCCCGCAATCAGCCCCTGGGCTTGGAGCCAGGCAGAGGCAGGGGTGCTGGTGTGCCTCTCACACCTTCTCATCAGTGCGCACACGGCTTGAGGGCTCAGAGGAACGGACATGCGACATGCGTCCCTGGCACCTGTGAGCGAGGCTTGCTGGCGTGGAGACTCCGGGCACGCAGCTCACCAGCTATGTGAGCCAAGGAGCTTCTGACTTGTCTGCGCCTCAATGACTTTCCCCGTGGAGTGGGGACAGCAACAGTGCCCTCTTCACAGAGTTCCGGGGAAGGGCTCCGTGGTCTTGAGTCACAATCGGTGTTATTGTCACGGTGATCACGTGACTTCTGGGGTGAAAGTGGGAGGGGGCGGTGTTGATGGTCCCCATGATGAGCGAGCCCCTGGGCTGCTCCCTCACTGCGTGGAGAGTTGTGCTCGTGGCCACAGGGGAGACCCTCCTGTCACATTCCGGGTGCAATCCCGCCTTCCTCTGTGGCTCAGACATTGAGGACTTGGTGCCCAGCCGGGAGCAGGGAGAGGGGAGAGAGGTGAAGAGCTGCTCCCCCAGGGCCAGAGCACCTGGGCTCCCTGCAGAGCCAGGGCCCTGCTTGACCAGATGGGAAAGTGGTTTGCAGCAGCACGTGGGGATGCACCCACGAGAGAGCCGGTGCCCAGCCACGGGAGGGAACAGCCCAGGAAGAGCAATTTCAAGACATCCAAAGCAGGGCGCGCCTGCCAGGGCCCGGGCTTCCAGGCACTTGGAAGGCAGGGGCCGCGACGCAGGTGCCTTGCCCGGCTGATGTGGAGGGGGGAGCAGGTCCCTTACCGCTGTCTGTAAGGGAGAGGGCTGATGTGGGGACTCTCGGGTTCTGAGACAGAGTGGAGAGGGCAGATCAGCGTCACATTGAATGACAGGAGGGTCCCATGGCTGGGAAGGCCAAGCTCCAAATCAAGGGCTGAACTGTGGCTGTGCGCTGGAGAGCAGGTCGCCAGCTCTGACACCCAAGGGAAGGCTCAGGAAGAATTCTGCCTGTGAAGGGGGTGGGGTGCTGCCCCCAGGCGGGGGGCAGGGGGTCAGAGAGAGCTGGCATCTCCCAGGACCCTGGATCCCCCGCCTACCTCGGGCTCTCTCCTGGGGAGTCCAGGCCATCCTGGATTACAGATACCTGACGGATCCCCTTGTCAAAGGCTCGGGGACTCAAAGAGGGATGGAACCAGGAAGGTCACTTAGCCCCATAACCCTACCGGCAGTGATCCTGAGGTCCCAGGGTCCCGGAGGGGAATGTGGCCAATCCACAAGGCCTGCCAGCAAATAAGCAGGACTCAAGCCCAGCAAGGCCCTTGCTTCCCTGCCACCTCTGCCCGCAACGAGGGCTGCCCCTTGCACCTTCTGACCACGTTCAACCGAGGTCCAGCTCTCACCGTGTGGACGCTGTCCCCAGGGTCACCTGTTAAAGCTCACGTTACCTGGACAGGTGTGCTGGCTCCTATCCTGTCAGCCCAGCAGCAGGGACTCTGTCCCAGGCTGGGCAGATGCTGCGGTGACAGTGGGGGGGTAGGTGAGCTCTGCAGGAGCTGGGAGCCCCAGGGCTGAGCAGCAGCTTGTGGTGAGGGGCGGGGCCTGAGGGCTGCGGGGGGAGGGGGGGGATGGAAGGAGGAGGGGCAGGCACCGCACCTGGTGGATGCTGCATCCCAGGGCCACTGTCCCGCAGCGAGACGCTCTTGGGCGTGGAGTGAGCGGATGGAAGCCGAGCTGCTCCCTGTGCACTGCTCGGTGGCCCCGGGCAGTCACCACCCCGCTCTGAGCCAGGGATGGGGAGGAAAACACCCCCTCCTGCCACTGCAGCAGGGACTAATGGAGCCCGAAGTGTGAAACACGCTGGCCAGCGCCTGGCAGATAAGGCTCCCTCCTCAGCTGCCCTGCCAGGACACCCCAGGGGTCAAGGCCTTCCCTCCTGTCTCTTTCCTTGCTGCAGGACCCTGGACCTCAGTTTCTCCATCTGCAATATGGGGTTGAGAATTCAGGGCCACCGTTCTTGAGAAGTACCCAGCACTGAGCCCCGCACAGCAGGTGCACAGAGGCAAGGGCAGTGGGCGGTGCCTGAGCCAGAGCTCTGCAGGGGCCTCTCAGACCCACAGGAGGGGTTGCTGGCACCCCCACTGCTGCCGTTCAGTCCAGTGTCCCTTCCAGAACCCCACTTGGGGGCCCACAGCCGTCCCCCTCCTGTCCCAGCCATCTCGTGTCGCTATCAGACTTTGGCACAGAGACAGGTCATCCATGCACAGGCAAATTGCCCATTTGCCCGGAAAATGTCATGTTGTTCCACATGGCTAAGGCCGGGACACCCTCGTTCCTTCTGCCCTTCCTGAGCCGACAAGTGGCAAGGGGCGAGGGCCGGAGGATTTGGCGGAAGGCGCAGTTCCTTGTAAGATTCATTCTGTTAACAGCAGAACGTTCTCGCCACTCACCCGCAACCTTTTCTCTCTCTTTTCTTTGAAATGAGAGTATCTCTTATGGAAGATCTGTTAAGGGAGATGCATCTGGAAAAGCCGTGCGCTCCTGAAAAGATAGCGCTCTTTAAGAAGTCATTTGCGGCATGAAGTCTAACGAGCGTGCGTGTGTACACCACAGGGTCATTACGGCGCCGACGGGATTGCTTGGATGTGAATTGAATCGCAGATCTGCTCCAAGCGCCTGTGCCTGCTCTGGCTTCTGTTTCAAAATGGGATCCTCAAGGCGGCAGACGGGGCTGCCTGGGGCTGTCGGCCCTGCCTTGACCCTCACCCCTGTACAGGTGAGAGGCTGAGCCAATTCCCTGTCCTTGTATTATTATTATTATTATTATTACTATTATTATCTATTTGAAAGGCAGAATGATAGAAGGAGAATCTTCCATCCACTGATTCACTCCCCGGTCACCATGGCCTGAGCTGAGCCAGGCTGGAGCCAGGAGCCAGGAACTCCCTGCAGGTTCACAGGTGGGGCCAGCAGGGCTGGGCCAGTAGGGTGGTCTAGGTCACTCCTGTCTCCAGCATGCGGCTGGGTGCAGAATAGGCATTGCTGGCTGTGTGCCCTTGGGTGATGGGGCAGGCAGGGAGGCCCCTCCTCCCAGTCCCGCCCGTGTCAGTCCCCGCCCCCTCACTGCTCGCCAGCCATGAGAGAGGCCTCTGCTCCCCATCCCTGATTCTTGGGGTTTGACGGACACCTGAGCTGCATTTCAAGATTCATAGACTCCCAGCATCTGGGCCGGAGGGACCTTTATCTCAGCTTTGACTGAGCGGGCTGTGCCAGGCCGGCTGCTTATCACACAGGATCACAGCGGCCTCGCAGAGCCCCAGAGAGAATGTTATCTCTGCCCACTTAGTGCTTCCCCTCCCCTGCCCTCCAAGGGGAGCTTTATCTTGGTTCCTAAATCGTGGGGGATGCGGAATCAGGAGGGAGTGGAGAGACCCCAGCAGGAGAAGCTGCTCCACGCTGCGCTGCGTGCCAGGGGAACGAGGCAGAGGAGGGCAGGGAGAATAGGGGAGGCGGAGGACAAGGCCGGCCGGCCAGGAACGGCATGGAGGTCAGGCTCCTTGCTGAGAGCCTGCAGCCAGCCCACAGACTGAGAGCAGGCGGGAGACTGGCCCAGGGCACAGCGCTGGGCAGCGGGAAGCTGGGCACAGCTCCTTCTGTCTGGCTTTCCCTGCAGGACCCGGGCAGGGGAAGGTTGTGAGGGGGCAGCTGTAGGAGGGGGAACCCGGGCACAGAGGAGGGAAGGGCACTGCACAGGCTTCTTCTAACTCCCAGCTGACCGGGGAGGGGGGGTGTCACCTGCCAGGCAGAGCAGGGCGTGTGACTGTGGGGTCAGAGACCTGGGGACGGGGTTGGGGGGAGGCCCAGCCAGGGCGTGGCCACAGAAACTCCAGGAAGGGGCGTTCTGTCCACTGGCCCGGGCAGGGAGACAGGTCAGAGCAGGAGCCGATCTCTCCCCAGCAAGTCGAAGGCGAAACGTCAGTTTCCATGAAACACTCGTGTTTGGTGATTGCACTGGAAACTCCGGATTGGAAAATTCCACCTGCCAAGACAGCCACGTCCTCCCGCTGGCACCAGACAAGAGCGGGGCCACCAGCTTTTGTCCCAGCCCACTGGCGCCTGAAATTCTGCCACTGCAGCTCCTTCCCAGGGCTCGTGGCTTCGTGGTTAGTTAAAATGCAAACCGCTTCACAGAAGTCATGCCTTCCACACAGACACTTTCATTAATTCCACAAATATGTACCAAGTTCTTGCTCTAAACCAGGCAAGCGAGAACCTGGGCTCTGAGAGCGAGAGATAAGTGAACGCTGCGAAGAGCGGCCGGATGGTAATGGGGGGTGGGGTGGGGGTGGGGTTTCGTGCGATGAGGAGACCTGACCGTGCAGCACTGCAAAGTGGCCATGGCGATGGGGTACATGGGGAGCCCCAGCAGAGGTGGCTCATATGCTAGTTGCAAACAGGGAGGCTCGTGCTGGGATCTAAGGAGTGAACAACAGGTGAGGGTGGGCACAGTAGGAGCAAAGGAACGAAATCCTGACTCCACCCAGGGCCAGGAGGGCTGTGGTTTGCAACCCCTTTGGACTCCGCCCAGACCGTGGTGGGGGTGAGGGAGTGTCCTGCAGCACAGGAGGTCCCAAGAGGAGACCTGCCCCTGTCCTCAGATGCCGCCAGGGCAGGGGCCACACCTGCACCTGCTGGGAATGACAGGTCACAGACACCTGTGCTGCTGCCAAGGAGCCAACCTTGGTTGAGTCCCGGAAGCCTCCTCCTCTGGTTTTGTTAAAATACTGGTTCCCTGGACCCAGCCTAGAGCAAGGATCTGGATTCTTCTGGAGTGGGGCTGGACTTTTTAGGAAGCCCAATGAGTGGTTCCGAAGCAGTAGGCAGACCCTGTCTGTCTCACACCCTAAAGACGACAGTGACTTGACGATGACGAAAGCAGCGGTGATCAGAAGTTAACTACCAGTGCCGGTGCTGTGGCTTAGTGGGTAAAGCCATTGCCTGCAGTGCCAGCATCCCATATGAGCGCCGGTTCGAGTCCCAGCTGCTCCACTTCTTTTTTTTTTTTTTTTTTTTTTTTTGACAGGCAGAGTGGACAGTGAGAGAGAGAGAGAGAGACAGAGAGAAAGGTCTTCCTTTGCCGTTGGTTCACCCTCCAACGGCCGCTGCGGCCGGCGCACCGCACTGATCCGATGGCAGGAGCCAGGAGCCAGGTGCTTTTCCTGGTCTCCCCATGGGGTGCAGGGCCCAAGCACTTGGGCCATCCTCCACTGCACTCCCTGGCCACAGCAGA